TGTGTGTGTGTGTGTATGTGTGTGTATACACCATGGAATATTATTTAGCCATAACAAGTAATGAAGCTGTGACACATGCTACAAAATACATGAACCTTGAAAACATGCCAAGTGAAACAAGCCAGGCACAAATGAACAAATATGGTATGATTCTACTGAAATGAAATAACCTGGAATAGGCAAACTCATAGAGAAAGTAGAATAGAGGTTACTGGGGGTGGCGGGGAGGAAGGCATGGGGAGTTACTGCTTGATGAGATGAAGAACATTTTTGGAAACAGATCGTGGTGGCAATTTCACAACATTGTGACTGTAATTAATGCCATTGAGCCGTGCATTCAAAAATGGTTAAAATCAGCTGGGCGCGGTGGCTCACACCTGTAATCCCAGCACTTTGGGAGGCTGAGGTGGTTGGATCACCTGAGGTCAGGAGTTCGAGACCAGCCTGGCCAACATGGCGAAACCCTGTCTCTACTAAAAATACAAAAAATTAGCTGGGCATGGTGGCAGGCCCTGGAGTCACAGCTACTCAGGACACTGAGGCAGGAGAATTGCTTGAACCTCCGAGGCAGAAGTTGCAGTGAGCCAAGATTGTGCCATTGCACTTTAGCCTTGGGGACAAAAGCAAAATTGTGTCTCAAAAAAAATTTTTTTTAATGGTTAAAATGGCAAATTTTATACTATTTTTATTTTACCACAATTGAGAAAAGTAAACAGGCTGGGTGCAGTGGCACATACCTCTAATCCTAGCACTTTGGGAGGCTGATGTGGGTGAATCACAAGGTTAGGAGATCACAACTATCCTGGCTAACAAGGTGAAACCCCGTCTCTACTAAAAATACAAAAATTTAGTGGGCACCTACAGTCCCAGCTACTCAGGAGTCTGAGGCAGGAAAATCACTTGAACCCAGGAGGCGGAGGTTGCAGTGAGCTGAGATCATGTCATTGCACTCCAGCCTGGGTGACAGAGCAAGACTCCGTCTCAGAAATAAATAAAAAAGTAAATAAACAAAATAAATAAATTGAGCCAGTTCCAGCCTAGCTTAAGGAGTAAAGAAGCCAGATGTTGGGGTCTTAGAAGAGGGAAATTAGATGGAATCAGAAAAGCCATAGTGGGGTCCAGTCCAAGCCTTACCGGGCACACAAATCCTCCTCTGAGTGTCCAGCCTCTGCATAAGCATCTGCTCTCTCACAAGCAGATTACTTTTAAGGCAGCAGAGTCTAACCTCAGAGTTGGGGTGTCTCTGCAACTCCCAATCCCTGGATTTCTGGGTGCTCACAGTGGCACTCAAGAGAACACTAGAATGGTGCAAAGGCAGAGGGGTGAGAGAGCTTCAAAGCAGGGCACACGACACACCTAGCAGCTGGGATCTGGAGTGGGGTGAAAATGTTTCTAAAGACTCAGATCAAATGTAATTGAACACCAGGAGCCATAATTGCCTACTTGGAGAAATGTGTGATTATCTCGAAACGAAGCAATAGCTTTGGCAGAATCTAACGTTGCATTGAAATTGGTTGCTTTGTTCATCTGCTCTATGTAGGCTGCATTTCTATACACGTGCTGTTGACAAAAACCAGATGACGCATTTTCTCCCAGGAAGGAGTCAGCTGGGCTTTTGGCAACGCCTCTCAATGGACAGTTTTGGTGGGAAGTGGAGACCAGGAGCTAACGACTATTGATTGATAACTGATGTTCAGAGGGTCTTAGCAGGCAGGAGGAGGCAAGGCCTCAGGTACAAGAGGACTATAGAAAGAGCTCATGCCTGCAAAAAGCCAGTTCTTCCCTCTTGAGGCAGCACAAAGACAAACATAATAGGGGTTCTCTGGCTGCCATCTTATTCATCTTAGGAATTCATCAGAAAAAGCATCCAGAATGCAACAACCCAGAGGAGCCTTAATTTTTGTACTTAGTACAAAGCTACAAAAATTACAGCGAAGAATGACACCTCTGTTTTTGTTTTATGCTATCATACGCAACTCAAGAATAATGACTTCTTTTTTTTTTTTTAGATGGAGTCTTGCTCTGTTGACCATGTTGGAGTGCAGTGGCTCAATCTCAGCTCACTGCAACCTCTGCCTTCTGGGTTCAAGTGATTCTTGTGCCTCAGCCTCTCAAGTAGCTGAGATTATAGGTGTGCACCACCACACCTGGCTAATTTTTGTATTTTTAGTAGACATGGGTTTCACAGTGTTGGCCAGGCTGGTCTTGAACTCCTGACCTCAAATGATCCACGCACCTCAGCCTCCCAAAGTGCTGGGATTACAGATACAGGCATGAGCCACCGTGTCCAGTCGAGAATAATGACATCTTATAATCAGAGTGTTCTTGATGGTCCACAATGCATTCGCAGTTTTATCTTTTCATCTACTCCTCACAGAAACTCACTAAGGAAGGGAAGATACGATTATCTTCATTGTTTTGATGAGTAAGCAGAGGTTTATAGTAAAATGAGTGACTTTGCCAAGATCACACAGTATGAAGTGACAGGACGGTGCCCTATACCTACGTGTAGCTGAACAAACGGGTGACAGTTCTAAGGGAATTGATCTGAATGTATATCAAAGAATGTAGGAAATGTCATGAAGTCAACCTCCTACCTCATCTTATTTCCTCGGAAGCAAATACTTTACTTACATAACAAATTCTTAGAAACAGTAAAAAACAATAGGGGCAAGCCTATTTCAAGACACAGTTGTGGGGAGAGCTAAGTTTATGGATCATAAAGAGTGTGTTAGAACTTTGGGTAAAAGGATGGGAGTCTCTGATTTATCATTTCTTAGAAACTGCAATCAAAACAAAAAACAAAAACTTGTGCCTTTACTAAGATATCCCTCAATATCTGTCTGATAGGCAGAGGGTCTCTCTGCGTATCAGACATCAGAGAAATACTCCAAGCCTCTGATAGGGGCAGGTGGCAAAGCATATTTAAGGACTTGTTCAGCTCCCAGCGATGACGCTCCTCCCAAAGGCCATTACTGCTTTCCTCGGATTCTTTCATGATGGGCAAACTCATCACCCTTCAGGGATGGGGGACTATGAGTAGGCTGAAATGCCAATTGCTAATAAAACGTCTTTTCTGAGAATGGATCTTTGAAATAACACTGGAAGTCATCGAGGAGATGCGATTCATTTCACAAAAATTCATTTCTGAAGCACAATAACATTAAGTGAGATAAAGCTATATGAGAAATGAGAAATTAGGTAATAATTTCATTATGTTCTATAAGCCTACAGCTATAATTCAGGATCATCACATTTATTTCAAAAGTTATGTTTCCATCCCTTTTGATATTGCCTGGGTCTGGAAGGGATAAGGGCCTTATAAAAAAATTCATCTCTTACCACACCCTATCCACATAGATAGTGGTTAGATGACCTATCCTTATGACGTTTGCAGCCTTTTAATTTAATTGCCACCAATTCTTCCCCTCCCCAGATCCGTGCCCTTACAATGTGCTGGTGCAGATTCTCTTGTCAAGAGGCGAAGCCTATTTCTCAATCCTGAGAATCTGGGTTGGCCTGTGACTTGCTTGGCCAATGGAACATTAGCAGAAATAATGCAGACACAGGCTTGGAAATCACTTGTGCACTGGGGCTCGCTCTCTCGCTACATTTGTTACCCTGAGGACAGCATATGAACAAACCCAAGGTGGCCTGCTGGAGGGATGGAGGCCATGTGGAGGAGAAGCAAGGTGCTCTAGCTAGTAGCTGGCCAGTTGTCAGATGTGTGAAGGAGACTGTCTGGGACCAGCCAGCCTCCTGGCTGACCTGGCAACTCACCGCAGACACATGAGTAAGCCCAATCAAAGCCAGTAGAACTGCCTAGCCCAAATTGCCAACCTATAGAATCGTGAGCTACGTATACATAAATGCTTACTGTTGTAAGCCCTAAGCATTGCGATGGGGCCAAGCAATGGCTCATGCCTGTAATCCCAGGACTTTGGGAGGCCGAGGAAGGCAGATCACTTGAGCCTAGGAATTCGAAACCAGCCTGGGAAACATGGTAAAACCTCATCACTACCAAAAAAACAAAAATTATCCAGGAGTGGTGGTGTATGCTTGTTCCTGGGGCGCTGAGGGGGGAGGATTGCTTGAGCCCAGAAGGTGGAGGCTGCAGTGAGCCAAGATCAGACTACTGTACTCCTGCCTGGATGACAGTGAGACCTTGTCTTAAAAAATACAAATCAAAGTTCTGAGACAGTTGGTAGCACAGGAGAGGCTAACAGATACGTTACATTATACTTATTTGGAAGCTACTAGGTGGCATAGTTAGAGCAAAGGTTCTATCACGGGCTCGTTATGGTATTTCACCTCCCACCTCTGTGCTTCAGCTTTTCTGCTTCAAAGAAGGCAGTACTTCCTTGAGGGCCGGCAGGAATCCTAATTCAGATGTATGTGCATTACAGCCTTCATAGCTTCTTTTTCTCTTTTCTCTTCAGCCGTTTTACCAGAAGCCACTATAAAGATGATATTCACGTTTTTCTTTCTTTCTTTTTTTTTTTTTTTGAGACAGAGTTTTGCTCTCGTTGCCCAGGCTGAAGTGCGATGACGTGATCTCGGCTCACCACCACCTCTGCCTCCCAGGTTCAAGCGATTCTCCTGCCTCAGCCTCCTGAGTAGCTGGGATTACAGACATGCACCACCTTGCCCAGCTAATTTTGTATTTTTAGTAGAGATGGGGTTTCTCCATGTTGGTCAGGCTGGTCTCGAACTCCCGACCTCAGGTGGTCCACTTGCCTCAGCCTCCCAATGTGCTGGGATTACAGGCATGAGCCACTGCACCTGGCTGATACGTTTTTTCAAATAAATTAATAATATATGTTAAGTGCTTTAAAAACTCTAAGATGTGATATGTGTGAAGTATCATATTTATTGTTTCACAATGAATACAGTTATATAACTGTTATAACAATCAGAATGGGCCCTTCTAAGAGTTACTCTTCTTCATTGAGAGTCCGCTGTCTGTTTAGCAGCACCTGGTAGAAAGTTTCCCAACTTACCTGAGACTTGAAGTAAGTTTCTTGTGGGGTGGCAAGTACATCTGCAGAGGCAATATCTAAATGCATGAGCGTCTGCCGAAAAGAAGGTCGGTTTCGAGGTTTACTCTGCCTAGGAGTGAAAAAGACAGTTTGTGCGTTTCAGAAGTTGTGTCCAGGAGAATGAAGATTTTATTTTACTTTATGAAAAAGACTGTTTACTTCAAAATGGCTATATCTGAGTAAATCCAGCTGTACTCTATTATATCAGTATAGTATAACCGAACAGTATCTTGACAGTTTTAACATTAAAAAAAATTTATTTTGGCTGGGTGAAGTGGCTCACACCTGTAATCCTAGCAGTTTGAGAGACTAAGACAGGTGGATCATGAGGTCAGGAGTCTGAGACCAGCTTGGCCAAGAGAACAGCCTGGCCAATATGGTGAAACCCCGTCTCTACTAAAAATACAAAAATTAGCCAGGCATGGTGGTGCGTGCCTGTAATCCCAACTACTAGGGAGGCTGAGGCAAGTGAATTGCTTCAACCAGGAGGCAGAGGCTGCAGTGAGCCGAAGATCATGCCACTGCACTCCAGCCTGGGTGACAGTGAGACTCCTACTAAAAGAAAATTATTATTATTTTTAGAGGTGGGGTTTTCACTATGTTGCCTGGGCTGATCTCAAACTCCTGGGCTCAAGTGATCCTCCTGCCTTGGCCTCCTAAAGTGTTGGGATTATGCGTGTGGGTCACCATGCTTCTCCCTGCAGTACAGTTTTAAATTTATATTTTATTTTATGTTTTAAAATTAGAGATGCTATGTTTCCAGGCTGCTCTTGAACTCCTGGCCTCAAGTGATCCTCCCATCTCGGCCTCCCAAAGTGTTGGGATTGCAGGTGTGAGCCACTGTGCCTGGCTGCCCTGCAGTAAAGGTTTGATATACTGAAGAGCAAAAGGAAAATGTAATTATGAGATAGCGCTAATGATGAAATGGAAATCTAGGATCAGACCTATTTAATAGTAGCCCATTAGGACTAGCAAAGAAATAATAGCTATCATTTACTAAGGCCTACTATTTCGAGATAATCATTCCAAGTTCTTTATTTCTAAATTTTAATTAATTACAACATAGTACCTCTATGAATTAGCGTTGTCTCTATTTTACAAATGAGAAAACTGATACTCAGATAACATGCCCAAAACTGCACAGATAGAAAAGGTCAGAGCTAGTATATGAACCCAAGATTCTCACACTCCAAAGCTTCTAGTCCTTCCACCACCAGGAGATTCTCTCCAAATACACATTAGAGACCTCCCTACGGCTTTAGAGACAATGTTCTTACCATGTCTGTTTCATAAGGATTTTGAATCCATCAGGGCAAGTGGAAGGAACTGGGAGGTGTAGGCTATTGCTTCCAACGCCCCAGATAATTGCTGAAGAATCTACATCTTTGTAAGGGATCTCTCCTGTCAGCAGCTCCCAAAGCACCACTCCGAAAGACCTAGAGTAGTGCCAGGAACATGTACAGAAGATGTTTCAGAAAGACTGATTCTTATTTTAGTTCTTTATTAATTTTAATCAAATTAGTACATATGCCCAGTATAAAATTCTACTACTGCTACAAGAAAGACAGAAACATCTGGAACAACCTAAAAAAAAATATATACGTGGGGTAATCAACACCACCGGAAATTAAAACCTGAATAATTAACTCTAGTGTGTGAACAGACAGCCAGAATAATGGATTGAACAAGAAATCCAGAAATAAACCAAATACATTTAGGAATTGAGTGTATGATAGAAGTGACATCACAAGCCAGCAGGGAAAAATTGATTAGTCAATAAATGTTGTTGGAACAGATGGGAAAAAAATTAAATCTATAACTCACCATAAATTAAGATAAATTTCACATGAATCAAAGATTTAAATAGAAAAATGAAACTGCAAAAATCTAAAAATAAGGAGTTAAAAAATTATCTTAGCATGTTAAAGCCTTTTTAAATCATGAAATCTATAAGCCACAAAAGGAGAAACTGAGAAATTAAACTGTATTTTAAAAATCTGACATGGAAAAAAAATAGCAGAAGCAAGATAACAAAATGTGAACTATCTACAATGTACACAAAATGTAAATCTCCTTAATACATAAAATACTCTGATAAATTATGAGTAAAGATCAGAAAACTGAGCAAAGCTTATGAGTCATTCACAAACAAGAAAATACAATGGCTTTTATACGTATGAACAAATGTATACCGTTACTTATACTAAGAGGAATGCACCCAAGATATCATTTTTTCACCTATGTGATTGGCAAAAATCCAAGAGTTGAGCACATTTTGTTGGTGAGACTGAGAAAACACTCTTACATATTTCTGGTAGAACATTAATTAGTAATCACTAAGGAGGGTAATTTGGTAATGATTACCTCAATTACAAATGACCCCACATTTCTACTTTATCCTCATTTACTCTTATTTACATGCAATTTTGACATGTACTATTATTTTGGTTTTAAGCCTAAAGTTACTAGTTGCCAATTTTAGGGGTAGAAGAAAAGCAATTACAGGGGAAAATACTGTTAATAGAAAAGACTTATAACCTCAGAGGAAACCTTTTCATTGAACAGCCTCTATAGGTTCAATGAAAGGCCAAAACAACCTCCTACATTTCAAACATGTCTAGAGAACATAACTGCATCACAGCAAAGTATATCATTGATATGGTGACCTGAGTCATTGAGAATAGATGAGAATTATGTAACACATTTAAGAAAGACTTCTATACTAAACGATCATTTGAAGTAAACTTTCAGCTTTCTAGAAAGTTCAGCATATTCTCTGAGGTCCCCCAAACTGATGACTTACTGAGTAGATAGTCACCTGAATTCCCCCTAATCCTTCTCCCCATATATCACCATTCTGGGTAGTACCTCAGATAACATGAGGCCAAAATCAACCCAAAGTGAGCAATGCTAAAGAATATTCTAGAAAAGTAAGTGCTGAAGGAAGACAGTACTAATAGGGTAAAAGTGGGAACAGGCTTTTTAGTTGGCACAGATGGCACCACTCACCATATATCCACCTTTTCAGAGACAGGTTCATTTCGTATCACCTCTGGCGCCATCCAGGCCACCGTGCCAGCAAATGACATCTTGGTACTTTTATCACTGAGTTCCTTAGACGTACCAAAATCTGAAATTTTTACTGCGTCTGTGTGGGTCACTAAAACACTTTAACAAGAAATAAAGAAAACATCCAGATCATTAGTACTAATGAAAGCCATGATTCTGAATGGCTGAAACTGAACACTGTATTTGCTGCTTCCTATCACGTAGCATTCAGCTAGCAGTTTTCAGTGTTACTGGGGCACTGGCTATAGACTAGAAATAGCATCATTCATACTTGTGAGGCACCTTAGCGTGATGGGTTTTTAACACCTTGTCTTACTCTGCCTCTTCCACATGCTATGTGATCTTTGCCAAATTACTTAACTCTTCCTTTTTATTTTTCTGAGACAGACTTTTGCTCTTGTCACCCAGGCTGGCGTGCAATGGCTCAATCTCAGTTTATTGCAACCTCTGCCTCCTGGGTTCAAGCGACACTCCTGCCTCAGCCTCCCAAGTAACGGGGATTACAGGCACTCACCACCATGCCCAGCTAATTTTTTTTTTTTTTTTGAGACAGAGTTTCGCTCTTGTTACCCAGGCTGGAGTTCAATGGTGCGATCTCGGCTCACCACAACCTCCGCCTCCTGGGTTCAGGCAATTCTCCTGCCTCAGCCTTCTGAGTAGCTGAGATTACAGGCACGCACCACCATACCCAGCTAATTTTTTGTATTTTTAGTAGAGACGGGGTTTCACCATGTTGACCAGGATGGTCTCGATCTCTTGACCTCGTGATCCACCTGCCTCGGCCTCCCAAAGTGCTGGGATTACAGGCGTGAGCCACTGCGCCTGGCCCTAATTTTTGTATTTTTAATAGAGATGGGGTCTCACCACATTGGCCAGGCTGGTCTCGAACTCCTGACCTCAGGCGATCCACCTGCCTCCGCCTCCCAAAGTGTTGGGATTACAGGTATGAGCCACCACGCCCAGCCTTACTTAACTCTTCTAAGCCAGTTTTATGTGTAAGATGGAGACTCTTCAGGTCTTACCCACAATTTGAAAATGCAAAAAATTCTCAACCAGTTTATATTTTTTTCACATGTGTAAGGCAAACTCACTTTCTTAATCTCATTTTGTATGAATACAATAGGTTTTGCTGCAGATTTGTTAATGTGGTTGATTTTAGGGTGCTGCTCCAGGCCTCACTGGATGTTTAAGGGAGTGCACCACCTTTCCGAAAATGTCTTGCTCAAGAGTTTTGGTTAAGGGATTATAGACCTGGAATAACAATCTCCTTGAATTTTCATTTGAATTAAATGAGGTAAGATACGTAAGGCACCGTTATCAATAAATATTGGGTTCCATCCTTGCTGGCTTTAGCCAGCCCAAGAAAAAGAACACTTCTTTTAAAACACTTGTTTAAATGACAGCCAACTACCAACATGAATGAGACCATGACATTTGGGATTCATTCCATTCAAAGGCTAATATATATGCTGGGATTTCACGAGTGCTGATAAGGAAAAACAGAAATAAATTTCGGCTTAAGTAAGTTCCACACCAGCTGTGTTTTACTTGTCATAGTAGTTATCTGAAATGTGACCTGAGGCAAAGGGCTTGTGCCAGCCTCAAAGATGAATGCAATCTGGTGCCAAATTGACAGCTTCACGTATTAGATTGAATTCGCTTGAAATAACCTGTTCAGAACTTCAGAAAGTTAAAGAGTTAGGGTTTCAGAGGCTTTAATGACATAGGGACCTATGTTTAATGATAAGAGGCTGAATCCTTGAATAGTATCAGAATTGAGGAGGCTGTAAAACAGAAAGCATCCTACTCTATCCCCTTGCTTTTCCATTCCAACCAGGGATTCCTTCACATTTACCATGCAACACCAATGGCTATTTACCAAATAGCTCAGAGCTTACGATTGCTTTTGACTACCATCCTCCAAACCCTGATTTAGTACCTAATATGCAAAATTTATATAACTTAGGAGTTTTGATTTAACTGTGTTAGTGAAAATGTATAAGGAGGCTGGGTGCGGTGGCTCACGCCTGTAATCTCAGCACTTTGGGATGGCAAGGTGGGCGGATCACCTGAGATCAGGAGTTCAAGACCAGCCTAGCCAACATGGTGAAACCCTGTCTCCATTAAAAATACAAAAATTAGCTGAGTGTCGTTGCAGGCACCTGTAATCCCAGCTACTGGGAGGCTGACACAGGAGAATCACTTGAACCTGAGAGGCGGAGTTTGCAGTGAGTTGAGATCGGGCCACTGCACTGCAGCCTTATTATGAAATATATGAGACAACTAGAGAATCGATATCATACACCATGAAAGTGGGAGTCGGCAATAAGCCTCTAAAAGAGAGAACTTTTTCTAGGAACTTCCTCTCTGCCTCAGTGGGTGTGACAAGAGAGAATGGACTTGGGAGGACACTAGAGAAATATAACTTTTCTGAAATCTTCTCTGAGAAAAGTTGGGGTCTCGGTACCTGTAGACTTAATGTCAGTAATGAGATCTCTTGTTACAGCACGTCAGATTGTTCTCTGTCTTCCCAAAGTCAGCTTGAAACCCAAAGAAGTCAAAGCTGCTGGAGGTGGGAGTGTCGTTGATGACAGAGGGAAAGGTGTCCTGGGTAACCCATCTACTACTCTGATCTAGGGCTTCCTGACTCTTTCCCTCTAAGACTAATTCACGAGGAGAACGAGCTGGTTAAAAAGGAGACCACTCAAAGGGCCTTCAAGTAGTTCATGTACTTTACATGCATGCAGTGGATGGCAAAAGCAACAGGGTAAGAGTGCAGTCAGAAGAAATGGACGCTACATAATCGTGGTTATTTGCAAGTAAAGCAAGGAGGAGGTTGTTCAGTCAACTAAGCACTATAATAAATATGCTGAGAATCATGGTATAAGTAAGGGCTGTTTGAAGTTTTTCATCAAGGATTGATGTATACCGTCCATAGGGGAAAGGCAGGATCCACTGTGGATCGCCTACCTTCACATGGTGAGGCAGAATGCAGTAGCCTTTGGCTCAGAAATTCTGGGCTAAGCTCTAGTTTCCCTTATATAAAATCAGAATAACAATACTTGTTACACACCCCACACAGTTTTTGCCAGGATCAAAGATGTGATAATGAATCCCCCCAAAATATTATAAAACACAAAAGCACTATATATATATATGCACACACACACATATATATATGTGTATATACACATAGATATACATATTTGTGTATATACACATATAAAAATAATGAAAATAAATACATAAATATATACATGTATATATTTATTTTCACTATTTTCTTGAGACGGGGTTGTGCTGTCTGTCCAGGCTGGAATGTAGTGGTGTGATCATGGCTTACTGTAGCCTTGACCTTCCAGGCTCAAGTGATCCTCCCACCTCAGCCTCCTGAGTAGCTTGAACTATAGGCCCATACCACATGCCCAACTAAATTTTTTATTTTTTGTAGAGATGGGGTTTCACTATATTGCCCAGGCTGCAAATATATTTTGAAAAGAGATTAATCCTCTGCTCATTGAACCCAAAATGTGATGATAAATAGTAAAAATAATGTTTAAAAATAGGAGTTATCATGAAATAAATCATTATATCAATCTCTTTCTTCATGCAATTTGGGGAACTAACTAAACACTCCTATTAAAGTGATCAGTAGCCAAGGAATCATTCTGAAAACAGAGATGACTAGAAACAGCTCTGCTTCTCTTACATGGCCAGGGTTTATTTTTCCTGTGGCCATTGTGAACCTTGTAACAGTTCACTTCCTCCTTTGCTTAGACACTAGAAGCTCAAAGCCAAATCTGTAGTCCCCGTCTGCAGAATCTTATTCCATATAATTTGTGAACAATTTTTAGTTCTAGTGTTTTTACTTTCCTTTGCCTCTGTTTCTTTCTTTCTTTTCTTTTCTTTTTCTTTTTTTTTTTTAAGACAGTCTTGCTCTGTCACCCAGGCTGGAGTACAGTGGTGCAATCTCAGCTCACTGCAACATCTGCCTCCCAGGTTCAAGGAATTCTCCTGCCTCAGCCTCCCAAGTAGCTGGGACTACAGGTACCTGCCACCATGCCCAGCTACTTTATTGTATTTTTAGTAGAGATGGGGTTTCACCATGTTGGTCAGGCTGGTCTCGAACTCCTGAGTTCAAGTGATCCACCCACCTTGGCCTCCCAAAGTGCTGGGATTACAGGTTTGAGCCACTGCACCCAGCTGGCTTGTTTCTTATTCATCCATTTTATCCTGTTGTATACATTTCTGAAACTCAGTTTAAAAAGGTTTTCGAGCACATGGGAAACAACAAATTAAGCCTTCCAGTGGGAAGGTCTGGCATTAATTACTTCAGATAATAATAATTTTTTTCACAGTTGTAATGATTTAAAAGCAACAAAAAGGGCAAAGTGGTTTCAGGTACCTGGACATATCTGCCATACAGGTAAGCAGGTAGGTCAACAGTAATCTCAGAGACACACAAACATTACCCACTGTGCTGACTGAAACTGAACTAAAGGTATGATGTCAGAAAACTTCAACTGTGGTTGATAAAAATGCTTTATTTCAAAATAACAAAACAAAATAGCTGAAGCATTAGCTCCAGAACTCACTTAGGTGATTTGAGATCACGATGAATAATTTTATGGAGGTGCAAATAATTCATTCCACTTGCAATTCCTGTGGACCAGTCTACCAGCAATCGAGGCGTGATCTTCCTGCCGGCTCGCAAGACCTCATAGAGTTGTCCGTGGGCACAGTATTCCATGATGATACAGTAACATGGGGCCTGAGTACACACACCCCTTCCAAGAAAACACAAACATGGACATAAATACACACATACATGTGTACATATTTATATTTTTAAAATATTTAATAAAAATCAATTCTATACCCAAATTATTTAAAAAATGTGTATGGATAACAGTTCCTGATTCTTAAACTAGCATGAAAACTTCCCTAGTCTCCAGGTTTCTCTGTGATGCACATAGACAATTTTTGTTTGCTTTGTTCACTCTGTATGCTGTGCTGTCTGGGTCTGGTGCCTTTTCTGTGGGATCCTTCCATTCCGGGACACATTACACACTTTTCTGAGGTTTGTGTAGGCTGGATACTGTGTTGTTTTAGATCATTAAGAATAATTTGGCCGGGCATGGTGGCTCATGCCTGTAATCGCAGCACTTTGGGAGGCCAAGACTGGTGGATCACCAAGGTCAGGAGTTTGAGACCAGCCTGGCCAACATGGTGAAATCGCATCCCTACTAAAAATACAAAAATTAGCTGCGTGTGTTGGTGCACGCCTATAATCCCAGCTACTTGGGAGGCCGAGGTACGAGAATCACTTGAGCCTGGGAGGAGGAGGTTGCAGTGAGCTAAGATTGTGCCACTACATTCCAGTCTGGGCAACAGAGTGAGACTCTATCTCAGAAAAAAAGAAAAAAAGAATAATTTAAAATTTCTTTCTTTTAAAGTTGGAGGGTTTTATATGTAGTGTAGGGAAAGATAATTCAGACAAAAAACTTCTATTTTAAATGTTATTTGCTGATTTTTTAACTACTCAAATTAAAAATAACTGACTAGACTGAGGACCCAAAGACGAGTCATTTTTCTGTCTTACATAATCTTTGAAAAACATTTCTTTTTTTTAATGCCAGACAGGTAATGTGCTGACACCATCAGAAGGTTGGAGGGGGCATTTCTCACCTGTGAGTGTGAACACCCAGTCATGCTTATGAATCACAAAATAATCCGAAAAACATTATACAACTTTTCCTTTTTTTTTTTAAAAGACAGAGTCTCACTCTGTTTTCCAGGGTGGAGTGTGCAATGGTGCAACCTCCACCTCCCAGGCTCAAGCGATTCTCCTGCCTCAGCCTCCCCAGTAGCTAGGATTACAGGTGAGCACCACCATGCTCGGTTAATTTTTGTATTTTTAGTAGAGATGGGGTTTCACCATGTTAGCCAGGCTGGTCTCAAACTCCTGCCCTCAAGTGATCCACCCGTCTTGGCTCCCAAAGTGTTGGGATTATAGGTATGAGCCACCACATCCAGCTTATACAACATACTATATCTCTATTAGTCTATATTTGCATCAGTTCCTACATCATCCATGAAACCTTTCCTGCTTATTCCAATCCAAAAAGATCTTTCCCTTCTTTAAATTCCCATGATATACAACAGCCACTAGTTCTTTATATGCAATTTTTCTCTCTGCATATAGATTATAGGCTCCTTGAAGGCAAAGGTCTTCAAGTTCTTTTCTACCACAAGGCCTAGAGGTTCACAGCAAGTCTTTGACAAGTGTTTGTTAATTTCACCTCAACATTCTTAATTAAAAAAGCCTTCAAATCACATATGCAGATGCATGGAGGAGGAGGAATGCTACTAACATGGAAGAACCTCTTCTATTTTTCGGGACATTTCCATGTTTATTAGTCTTATTTAATCTGCCCCAAACCACTGTAAGATAGATATTACCTTTTCCATTTTTACAAGTAAGGCTCAGAGTGAGAAAATGACCTGTCTTAATCACAACTAGATCATACAACTAAAAAATGCAGAGCTGGGATTCAAACTCAGTCTGCCTAATTTGAAAGTCCATGCCCTCTCCGCTCACTGTACAATACTCCCTCCCTTTTAGCTTTTAAACTTCTGTTTAGACAAGCACATTAGGGATTCCTGTGTTAACACCATTATCTTATAAGAGAGGGAATGATCATAGTAACTCCACAGTTTTGTTCTCAGGATGAGAAGAAAACTTACTATATGTAATTCTCTATGTTCTATCTCTTAAGCGTATACATGCCTTCCTGTGAAACTTTCTAGAGAAGTTAACAGAGTGTCTATAAGACATCCAGCTAAAGTCTTCAGCCAGCTACCAACCCCTGAAGAGAGACAGCAGCCCTATCTCTTCAGCTGCTGTAAGTGATGAAAGAATGTAAAGGTCACAGCTTAAGGCACCGATCATATGAAGGTAATGATGATCTTATAACAATAGCAGGTGATGAGGAAGTATAATTAGTCTTCATTCTCCCCTGGCCTGCTGTGCCTGTCAATGCCACAAAGCTATTACTCTCCTATCATTTTCTAAGCTACAAAGAATTCTCGTCTTGATTTTTAATAATTTTTTTTCAAGTTTTGGTTATATGTTTCCTAGGAAAGCTTGGTGAAGCACAAGTGTCTCACAGTTACAAATAAATGATTAATTATCATTATAGAGAACTAATAAATATGGCAGGTATAATGTAATATGCCTAAGAATATCAACATGAACTTCTTTAAATTAAAAAAAAATCTTGTGTGTGATGGAGTCTTGCTCTGTCACCCAGACTGGAGTGTGTTCTTGGCTCACTGCAACCTCCACCTCCCGGGTTCAAGTAATTTTTGATGTCTCAGCCTCCTGAGTGGCTAGGATTACAGGCACATGCTGCCACACCCAGCTAATTTTTTGTCTTTTTAATAGAGACGGCGTTTCACTGTGTTAGCCAGTGAAGACTGACCTTGTGATCCACCTGTCTCGGCCTCCCAAAGTGCTGGGATTATAGTCGTGAACCACCACGCCTGGCCCTAACATAAACATGTTTTGAAGATACTCAGCCTCCTATTTAACTATGTTTTAACTTGCGTCACATAGAAACGGCCTAACAGTGATATGTTACGCACCTTTCATCTCTCTTGACTGACGAATGGGAAGCCATCATTCCATCAGCTCTGTACTATGACAAGGTTTCTTAGTAGCTATACATAGTACCTCTATAATCACTTCTAATTGCTACCTTTTCTTCCACTTGCCACTGAATTCCATTAGGAACAGTCAGGTTGAGTTTTCTTAAAAGATTAACAAAAAAATTGGATGTAAAAAGAATATAGTATTGTTATCTTGTACTTCCCCTTTCTGTATGTGGTTTTTATTAACTTCAAAAGAAGCTGTAAGCACAGAAATCAGCATCCAGAGAGATGTTCTAAAATCTAATCATGCCCTCGTATCTTCCAGACGGTCCTGAATGGGATTCATTGGCCAAGCAACACATGGCACAGATGGCTGCAAACACAACACTGCACAATGGCCAAGAGCATGGTGTAATGGGCCGGGAGCACAGTCTCCCTATTGTTTTCCATGTAGAGGTAAAGACTATTCAAGTATCTTCAGCCTAAAGAGTTGGGCACTAGCAGGGCAATGCTGAAAACTGCATATGCAGGTAGGAGAGTCAGAAGGGTGAGATGGGAAAAAGATAGGAAGAAAGAGAAAGAAGCAAAAGACAGGAGGTATAAATAAAGCTTCTCGTAACACCATCCTATTAGGACACATTTCTACTTTCAGTGACCCAGGGTATCCTGCTGGAAAGCCCTCTTACCTGCCACACACAGCCTAAATCACTTCAAGAGGCCAAAAGCCATGCTCATCTACAGAACATTCTGTGTCTCAAACCCAGTGTCCTAGTGATCTAAGTTCAAAAGCTTTTGACCCTTCCCTCCATTTAGGAGGATGTGGCCTACTGGAAGTAATGATCATCTCAGTGTGGGAAAAGGAAGGAAAGAAAGAAGAGGGTCTCCACTAAGTCTGTCTGCTTAAAATGATCTCCCTGTTGTCTTTTGAAATTTATCCTCTTTGGAAGGATGATAATTGGTCTCTGCAGCATTTCATGTCAGTCACACATCCTCTTGGCCCTATGAGGGGGACCAAAGATAGAATTACCGCAGCAACTGAAGCCCTTTCTCATGGCCTCTGCATGAATGTCCCTTCCACAAGGAAATGAATCCCAGAACTTCTTTCTGGGTCTCTTATGTCCTGGTTGAATGCTTCTCTCTGTCTCTCTCTCTCTCTCTCCCCCTCTCTCTCTCTCTCTTTTTTTTTTTTTTTTTTTTTTTTTACACATCTTTCCCTTTCCATAAGGGGTCTTGTTTGGGAATCAAAACTCAACCTCAGTACTCATTTAAACCCATTCTACAAAACCTATACCCAAGATTGACCTTCCTTACTTTGCGGATGTGATTCCAGTGAAGACTTATGACATGACATCTTTAGCTTTGTAATCAGAGTTTTATCAATGAAGGATCCCTTTTGAGGCTGGGAGAAGTTCCGCCTAGTTTAGGAGGGGAATTTGTAAATTATTCCACTTTTAGCTGCAGCCTCATTGGTCATCCTACTTTCCAGGAATGCGAAATGCATATCAAATATACCACAAAGCTCTAGTTTCTAAACTTTCATCCTACCTAAAGATACTTGTCCTGTTCTTCACCTTCCTTCCTCTAAAGCCTCTTGCCATTTACTTGTTTAAGCCTGGGGCAATATTCAAAGGCCGGCAAGGACAAGAACTCAGGAAAAGGTTCAGGCAGAAGAGATCGTATCTTAGAGCTCAGCACTTCCACAATTTCAACTTTGACTCTCCTTCTGTTACGGATCCCTGTCAATATTTGAAAATAATGGTCTAGACTAGAAAGATATGTTCACAGACACTTGAAAACAATCACTTTCTGAAGTGAATATAACATACATCTTACTATCAATAGCTCGACAATCATTAGGTTAAGAAAGCTGAATGTTTGATAGTATTTGAAAGAGACTGGAAACACCAGAGGCTATACTCTATTACAAGTGAATGTTCAGGAAGGGATGCTAACAGAATCTGATACAAAGTATGTATCTACTACACAAGGACTGATTGTTCTTTGATCACTTTAGATTTTGCTTTTGTTTACTTTCTTTCCTTTTTTTCTTTTTTGAGAGAGTCTCACTCTGTCACCCAGGCTGGAGGGCAGTAGCATGAACATGGCTCCGTAGAGCCTCAACCTCCCGGACTCAAGCAGTCCTCCCGCCTCAGCCTCTTAAGCAGCTAGGACTACAGGCCTGTGCTACCATACTCAGCTCATCTTCATTTTTTGTAAAGACAGGGTCCCACTATGTTGTCCAGGCTGGTCTCTAACTTCTGGGCTCAAGTAATCTGCCTGCCTTGGCCTCCCAAAGTGCTGGGATTACAGGCATGAGTCACCATGCTTGGCCAACTTTGTTTTCTTAAGTGAATTTTAGGCTGTTCATGTAATACTGAAGTAACCTCTGTCATGCCATTCATAAATGAGGTTGATGTAGCAGATCTGACTGCTTGGCAGGAACGGACATTTTCCCTTCCTGCCCCATGTGCATGCCCCTTCCAAGCAGCACATATTTAGGCAAAATGAACTGCTGGATTATAAGATGCCTGAGGACACAACTCCAATTTAATAGTTCCTTGGTATCCTCCCAAAGCATCTAGCATGGTGCTAAGTCTAGAGAATGCTTTTGAAATATCTCTCAAACCAGAAATGTGTGTGTATATACTGGGGGAAAGAAAATACCTCTACTTCTTAAAAAAAAAAAAAAAAAAAAAAAGCCTTGACCTACTTGAATGCGATGATGTTAGGGTGCTTCAACTTCCTCAAATGCTTGATATCCGTCTCATTCTGTTCTCTCACTTTCTTGATGGCCACCTCTTCCGCTCGGAACTTGCCCAAGAAGACAGCTCCTTGGGCTCCACTACCCAGCCACTGTAGCTCTGAGATCTCCTCAAATGGCACTTCCCAAGTATCTAGGCACACAAGCAAGAAATAAGCTTGAAGAGACCTCAGAAGGGACCACCACTCTACAAGGCCATTCTGAAAGTACCAACTTCATCATCACCCAGGATGACCCTCACCCTCTGTCTCCCACCAAAAGATAGAACTTTCCTATGTGCCTTGGAACTGGTCAAACATTCGTACACATTAGTTTGTATCCATTTTTAGCCACTGAAATAAAGCAGAGCAGAGGTCTCTAATATACTTTCCTCCAAACACATATCCCACCACTCCTGCAGCCCTACCTCCTCACCTCAAGCTTGCATGTCAGTCAGTTTACCTATCCGCCTCCATGCAACTATCCCTACCCCATCACCCACTATAGGTGTTATTTTATTCCTCTTTAAATGTCTAGTGTAGATGCTCAGTGAATCTTTGCTAATGAATTTTTTTTTTTTTTTTTTGAGACAGTCTTGCTCTGTTGCCCAGGCTGGAGTGCAAAGGTACAATCTTGGCTGACTGCAATTTCCACCTCCCAGGTTCAAGTGATTCTCCTGCCTCAGCCTCCCAAGTAGCTGGGGTTACAGGTGCCTGGCGCCATGCCTGGCTAATTTTTTCCTTTTTAGTAGAGATGGGTTTCACCATGTTGGTCAGGCTGGTCTCGAACTTGTAACCTCACGTGATTCACTCGCCTTGGCCTCCCAAAGTGCTGGGATTACAGGTGTGAGCCACTGTGCCCCGCTGCTAATTCATTTTTAATGATACTCTCCTAAGAACTTCATCATGCATACTACTTACATTAATATTTACCTTTGCTGAGTACTTACGATATGCCATACACTAGCATAGTACTTTACATACATCACGTATTCAATCCTTACAATAACCTTACAAGTAGGGCCTTATTATAGTTATTTAAAGATGAAAAAAACTGAGGCATAGGGTGGTTAAATAAATTATCCTAAAATCATATAGCTGATAAGTGGTAGAAATGGGCCCAGAACCCCAGAACTGGCCACTTTTAGGAAGAGTGCGTTCTCTCCTATATGACATTGCATCTCATGAAGTAATTCAGAAGGCCATTAGTCATGAGTCATGATATGCTTACTCATATAGCTGCAGTATTTTCAAGTTTCTCTTTTCCTTAGTTTGAATTTTTTTTGCATCAGAAATTTAAGAAGGGTCATTTCTAAGTGGTGGCATTATTAGTGCTTCGTATTATATTACTTTATTCTTTTCTGTTTTAAAAATTATTTTTACCATAAGCCTCTATCACTTTTATAATGAATAAAATGCTGTTTTTAAAAAAAGCACTTCAAAAATTCATTCAATATGTGCTTTAATCTCATGAAACCTTCAGAACAAGAATGTAATCCATTGATCCTTCTCCTTTCCCCCTTCTTACCAAGGTATTAGCACAGGTAAGAAATAACTATCCAAGAGCGAGGAGCCCCACCGAGTGAGAAGAATGGTGACAGTGTGCAAGGTCATCAGAGATTCTCCTCAGATCACTCAAAGGCTACTGTTTGCAGAACATGGAACAAAGTAGTGTTGAGTTAGCTTCAAAGATACTCTGGTCTTGAAAGCAAATCAACTCACTGTCCACTACACTGATGAAGTAAGAGCAGAAAGACTTCGTCTGCCCCTAGAAGCGAGCTACATTCCCCTCCTCTCTAAGTTTCGAATAGAAGTTCTGTAGATTCTTAATAAAATATTTTCTCATTACCATTGCTAAAACTTAACCTTCAAAATATAACTATGTAGAGCAAAAAATATATAAAATGAGATGGTTTATGCCATGGGCTTTCATCCCATTCTCTTGAGATGAGCAGTATGAAAGGTTTCTGTTCCACTGAAATTGAAAAAGTGCTAGATAAAAGCAAATATCTCTAAAACACAAATAGCTGACAAATTTAAAATCACCCAAGGCACACATGATACCAAGTGAGATTTGGGAGGAAAGAGCAAGAGATAGCCTTGGCTATTTTAAATATCTTCAGGGTTTCTAGACAAGTATTAATAAACGCCTCAAGAAATCTCACTTTCACCTCCATGGGCTCATTCATGCAGCACACATGGACACAGAGATTGATGGCATATTGTAAGAGAGTTTTCCACATTAGGGATCCAGTGACAAATTAAAAACTGTCATTTTGACCATTCTGGGGGTGCTGAATAAAGTATTATTGCTGGACTCGGGCAAGAACATAACTGAGAAGTCTGTCTTTGAACAACTTTACACGAGCCCAAATTACCCTAATTTTTAATAAAATAACTACTAAAATTAGACAAATGTTTGGGTGTCTCTTTCCCCCTATTTATTCAACCTTTAGTTACTGTTAAACATTGGAAACATTAGAAAAAAATCAGAAAAGTCAGAAAAACACACATTTTATCTGAAAGCTCATCCCACACCCACTTGTCATTTTCCCTCTTAGTTTTTGTTCACGTTTACGGCTACGTAAAAATTGCAGGTGATGTCTAACTTTTTTCTACCTTTTCACATATTATATGTCCTTCATGTAGTTACTATTTTTATTATAAGTTCTAAGAGTTGTTCTGCACCTTCTTACCTTTTCTGCATAAGTATTTCCCCAGATTCGGTCCCTAGGTTAAAGAGGACAGTTTCCCGGCTCTAGGAATCCATACATTCCAAATTCTATCCGAAAGGATTTTGATGGTTTTTGCTCACAGTAGCAAAGCATGAACATGTTGGCGGTAAGCGTTAGCAATGATTTTTTGGTTCTATTTTAATTAGGTATAAAATAGTGTTTTATAACTTTGCACTAGTTTAATTGCCAGTGACGTAGAATATTTTCTCCACATTTGTTAAATGCCCACATCTGCTTTGTATGAATTGTCAATACCCCTTTGTTCATTTATCTGTTAGGCTTCCATAGTTCTCATGAACTTGAAGAAGCTCCTTCTATATTTCTTTGATATGAATGAGAACATTTTTATGAGCCTTTTCCTTTAATTTTATAATTTTTGAACAATGTATTCTATAGTGTTGTCTATTATTTCCTTTGAAATTTCTTCCACTGCCTAGTCTATCTTCTAAAAGTTATCTACAGTTGATTTTTAAGAATTTAATCTTTACATTCATCTGAAGCTTATTTTGATGTAAGGTATGAAGACAGATATAAATTATTCTTTTTCTGCATTGCTATTTAATGATTCCAAAATCATTTGTTTAAAAAAATCCTTTTCATATTGCTTTATGATACTGACATTGTAACTCACGATATCATTTTTAGAAATAATGCCTATTAGTATTTTTATAGGATGATAAAGAGATTTATCACTAAAATACAAATACATTTGGGACTCACATACAAAGTATTCCTGGTATTGCTGTAAAAAATAAAATTCTCCTCTACCAACCTCCACCTCATGCCTGTGCTATTCAACTACGTTCAGCCAAGTCTTGATTATCCATAGAAAAAGAAAGTGGATGGCACTGGTAATAAAAGAACACAGAGTGTAAACTAAGGAAAGTCATGCTTCAACCGTGTTTCTATCAATCTTTGTACTGAAACTAATTATCAGAAGTAAAATCAATGGATATGAATGTAGCACCCTTTGCCCAGTCTCAAAGTCTCTGTTGATAACTAGCAGGGAGCTAAGAAATGGGAAAATGGCAGAAGAAAGGAAATTGGTGTTTTGGATGCATAAAATTAGAGGCCTAGAGAATTGATGAGCAGGATAACTAATCTCAGAATAACGAAGAACTGAAGATACTCTCTAGGGTTAGTTCCAAACTTTTTGCTTTTATGTCTGTCCCATGATACGATTCCCCAGCATTTCTCTTCTATTTTATTCCCCAGTGACTATATCTTAATTCCAATATCCTCCAGGTTCCTTGGGACTGAGAAAAAGCCACATGTCAACCCGCTTTAAGCCAACAGTTCTCTTTTGTTTATTCAGACATGGCTATGACAGTACTTGCTTGAGACTGGAAACTATCTGGCAATAAAAGATTGAAATTACATGCTACCTTACCTGGGCTCACTATCAACATCCTCAAAGGGAGGTGAGGCATCATTAAAAATTCTTAAAAATCCAATGAAATCTTCTCCTAAGTACCAAAGATAGGAACAGGCCTGTGACACGTGTTATCCTTTGGTTACTGCAACACAGGATTAGAGATTAGCTCCCTGATCCCAGACCTGACAAGGAAATTTGCTAGTTTCTGGCTAGCAAAACTCTTTCATGGTGCGTAGCAACACCAGCCCTCAGCAGGATATCCTGCAATCTACTGAAGGGCTAGGCACCTGCTGTGCCTGTGTCAGAATCTTAAGCTGACCAGGACTGTTTCTTACTTATTTCTGAAATAAACCTTTTTGAAAGTCACATAATCAGTTGGAACACAATTAAATATCACTATGCAGAATAATAAAAATTTTTAAAACCTCCTTTTGACAAACATATGGAATGGGGGTATCACCCCTCATTCTGAATCTCAACTTCCGTGAGGCACTTGGATCCTGAGATCTTCAAGTTATCACCAAAAGTAAGGCTGAGACTGGACAAGTGGAGACCCTAAAAACCAACTGTAGTTGATCACATGTGCAGCTATCAGCGGCTTTTGCATCCAACCAAAGAACAGAGAATTTTGAAAATAAATAAATAAATAAATTAGGGTTGGACGCGGTGGCTCATGTCAGTTATCCCAGGACTTTGGGAGGCTGAGGTGGGTGGATCACCTGAGGTTAGAAGTTTGAGACCAGCCTAGCCAACATGGTGAAACCCCGTCTCTACTAAAAATACAAAAATTAGTCAGGCATAGTAATGTGTCCCTCCGCTACTCGGGAGGCTGATGCAGGAGAATGGCTTGAACCCAGGAGGCGGAGGTTGCAGTAAGCTGGGATAGTGCCATTGCACTCTAGCCTGGGACACAGAGTAAGACTCCATCTCAAAAAAAAAAAAAAGAAAAAGTAGGTATGGTTCTCTCTGGATTGTAGAAGTACAGGTGATGTTTATTTTCTTCTTTATTTTCCTGCTTATGTTTATTTCCAATTTAAAACATAATAATGCTGGTAGCAAGAAGCAACTAATTTCCTTTAAAACTTTGAAAATAAAGGGGGCCAGGAGGTGGCGGGGAAATGAAAGCAGAACGTATAGAGTATCAGAGTCTATATGAAAGAGAGAGAGAAAGGTATGAGTTCTCTCATCAAGAAATTCTGGAAAGAAAAAATATGGACCAAAAATAAGATTCTATTTATTTTACAGCAATTTTAGACTCTGGGACCCTGCCCTAAGTCTGTTCATGTCTTTTAGTCAAGACTGTTGACAGCTTCTCCACAACGGCCAGTAGACTTCAGTTACTGAAAAAGAATTTCTGTGTGGAGCAAGAATAGATATTACGGTTGACAAATCCTGAAAATGACCTAGAAGTGAGAGAAATGCCAGTAAATCCCAAGATACTTATGGAAAACAGGTATAGTGGGAGGAGCTGGCATTTGGTTTAAGAGAATGTATTGCAGAAACAGGGGAAATAAAATCCATGAGAAAAGTGGTTAATGGCAACTGAAGTCTACTGGCCATTGTGGAAAAGCTGTCAACAGTCTTGACTAAAAGACATGAACAGACTTTTAGGGGAGGGCCCCAGAGTCTAAAATTCAGTTGTAAAATAAACAGAATCTCATTTTTGGTCCATATTTTTTCTTTCCAGAATTTCTCGATGGGAGAACTCATACAAATTTAGTCATTTACATAAGGCTACAAAGATATGTATAAAAAGTCTTAAACAACATATCTTTTAACTCAACTATTTCTCTCCTAGGAATTTATCCTAAGAACGAATCAAAGATACATGCAAACGTAAAGTACTAGACAAATGTTCCTTGCAGTATGACTTGTAATAACTAAAAATGCAAACAAATTAATGTTGAGCAATAGGGAGTTGCTTAAAAATATTGGCACAATCACAATTTAATGTTACTTAGCCATTAAAGATGATGGTGAAGAATTATACTTAAGACATGGAAAATGTTCACAATGTGAAGTAAAAAAAAAAATTTCAAAAGAGTATGTGATATGGTTTGGCTCTGTGTCCCCACCCAAATCTCATCTTGAATCCCCATGTGTCAGGGGAGGGGCCTGGTGGGAGGTGATTCGATCATGGGGCGGATTTCCCCTTTGCTGTTCTCATGATAGTGAGTGAGTTCTCGTGAGATCAGGTTGTTTGAAAATGTGTGGCTCTTACTCCTTCTCTCTCCTGCTCTGCCATGGTAAGACCTACTTGTTTCCCCTTCACCTTCTGCCGTGATCCTAAGTTTCCTGAAGTCTCCTAGCCATGCCTCCTATTAAGCCTGCAGAACTGTGGGTCTATTAAACCTTTTTTCTTCATAAATTACTCAGTCTCAGGTGGTTCTTTATAGCAGTGTGAACACAAATTAATGCAGTATGACTCCATTTTTAAAAAGTATACACACACATACACAAATAGACTAACAATATATAATGAAAACATGAATGGATATTCTCAGGAGATGGAAGATCATAGATTATTAAAAAAAATTTTTTGGAACTTACCTGTATTTTCCAAATTTCATACATATGTTACTTTTGTTATCAGAAAAAAAAGTTATTTTGGAGAATATTAATGAGGTTATACAAGATCATGTCCTTGGCAAGAACATGGATGGTGCCAGAGGCCACTGTCCTTAGCAAACTAATGTAGGAACAGAAAACCAAATATCACATGTTCGCACTTATAAAGAGGAGCTAAATGATAAGAGCATATGGACATACAGAGGGGAACAACACACACTGAGGCCTACTTAAGGGTGGAGGGTGGGAGGAAAAAGAGCATCAGATAAAATAACTATTGGGTACTGAGTGATGAAAGAATCTGTGCAGTAAATCCTCATGACACAAGTTTACCTATATAACAAACCTGTGCATGTGTCCCTGAACTTAAAATAAAGGTTTTAAAAAATGAGGTTATAAAGAACACCAGGGCCTCAGAAGTATAATACTAGCATTTGAATTAGAATATATGAATATATTGTTACATAATGATGGGAGTTAAAAACTTAATTTTTTTTTTTGAGACAGAGTCTCACTCTGCTGCCCAGGCTGGAGTGGAGTGGCACAATCTCGGCTCACTGCAACCTCTGCTGGGCTCAGGCAATTATTGTGCCTCAGCCTCCCAAGTAGCTGGGACTACAGGTGTGTGCTACCATGCCTGGCTAACTTTTGTATTTTTAGTAGAGATGGGGTTTCTCCATGTTGGCCAGGTTGGTCTCAAACTCCTGACCTCAAGTGATCCACCCGCCTCAGCTTCCCAAAGTGCTGAGATTACAAGTGTGAGCCACAGCACCTGGTAAAAATTTTAAATATGTAGCCACTGCATGATTTCTTTACATGTTATGTATCTGCACAACTATATTAAAATATGAAATACATCTGACAATGTATAAAAATAGAAAATTTAAATGATGAGATAAATTAAACAGGAGCTCTCATGTTTTCTTCTTATAATCCCATGGATTGTTTTATATGTACTGTTCTTTAGCCACCACTAGAGTGGAGGACCACAAAAAGATGGGCTACCACCAAAAACGACCCGCTGAATATGAATCTCTTCCCTTCAGCAGGTCTGCTGGAAACTGAAGTAGGGTATTGATCTGGCACTAGTTCTTTCCTTTGCCCCAAGGTCGCAGGTTACCCAGCTCATGGTGGTGATCGTGGTGGTGATGCAATGTTTACTCAGGAATTATCTTCGAAGTCCATACTTTAGCTTACCTTGCTGCTGCAATTTGTAGTCAGTGGAATATGCTTTCCCAATGATATTCCATACAGGCCTTAAACATCCAAAGAGTCCTTCAAGAAACCCACCGCTGCCACTGCCTGACCTGCTGAACTGAATCTTGATGTCTTCAGTTCCGCTTGTGCTCTCTCCGTCCACTGTGTTGCTGTTCCCCTGAGACACCACCATCTCTGATTCATCGTGTTCCCTTAGCTGAAGAACGCTGTTCTCAAACTGGTCCCTGGAATCCTCACTTACGCTTGTCAACACTGTTGTGGTGATGGGGCTGTTCATGCTCTCGACTAGCTCTGTTCGTGCCATCCCCTTTTCCTGCTGGTCCTCGAGCTTGGGAGAAGGGTGGTTCCCCATGGCTGTGAGTTCATCTTGTAGTCCATTGAAGGTTTTGCTTTCACTGAAGGGTAAGTGTGGAGAAGAGGAGCAGCTCAGGTGCTCCTGAAAGTTGGCCATTGTGCCATGAGTGTAACCGAGGTCCTGAGATGACACTCAGAAGATTATTAGGGCAGACTTCTGACTTAAGAGAGGGCTCGAAAACCTGAGAAAAACAGGAGGGAGAGACGAGATCATCCTTTCTTTATTATGCACACTACAACACTTCTGTTTGCATTAAAAAAATTAAAATAATGGGGATTGGTTAGCCTGTGCGTTAGTCTATATGATGGAAATGTGTGCAGCAATGAAAAATTATGCTATTGAGGAGTATTTATGAACATGACAAAATACCCATGACATATTAATATAAAAAACAGGTTAGAACAATATATACATTAACTTTAAAATGGGCTTTAAAGAATATACCTATAAGAAAAAAGACTTGAAGGAAAATAATCCAAAGAATTAGCAATAATTTTAGGTGGTTAGATTTGGGAGAGGTTTATATTGTTGTGATTTTCATGGCATTTCAAGCATGCTGTATTAATATCTATGATATTTTTAGAAAAACTGTTTCCCTTTCTACAAGGGAAATTTGGTTGTTCTGATATACAAATTTTATTAGAAACTACATCCTGTGTTATTATAAGTTGCTACTAATCTTTTCTCTTTGCTTTCCTGTCTTATCCAGTGGGGCACTGCTTTACTTTATAAGGCATTCATTAAGTCACGGAGGTAAATGTCATGTGTCTGTGACAAGACACATTTCTAAGATATAAAATTTGTTTTTATTGTACTGCACCAAATCCGGGGTAATGCGACTAAACCCTAGCTCTTTAAACTTGTTCTTTGCTTCTGATCTGTCTGTTAGCACCATTTCTTGGGGCCACCAAATCTTTAAAAGTGAAGATGTGTTCTAGATTGGCCAGATCATGCATAATCAATCTTAAATTTATTCAAAGTATGTTCTTTATTTTATTTTTCTTTTCTTTGTTTCTTTTTTCTTTTCTTTCTTTTTTTTTTTTTTTTTTTTATTGAGACAGAGTCTTTCTCTGTCACCGAGGCTGGACTGCAGTGATATGATGTCGGCTCACTGCAACCTCCGCCTCCCAGGTTCAAGCATTTCTCCTGTCTCAGCCTCCTAAGTAGCTGGGATTACAGGCACCCACCACCATGCCCAACTAATTTTTTTTGTATTTTTAGTAGAGACGGGGTTTCACTGTTGGCCAGACTGTTCTCGGACTCCTGACCTCAGGTGATCTGCCCGTCTCGGCCTCCCAAAGTGCTCGAGTACAGGCATGAGCCATCCCACCTGGGCCAAAGTATGTTCTTAGCAGAAATTTACTTTCTCTTTAAGTCTCTATGTAATAGTCATTCCTTCCTTCACTCTGTACTAAGCATCTAGAATGTACTAGAGGTCATGGTATGAAGATGACCTCATTTTCCTGAGCGGGTAAAAGAAAGACCAACAAAGACTGACAGAACAGTGCTTACAAAGAATCAAGCAAGTGCTCTGAGAGCACAGAAGGGGAGGAATAGTTCCAGGGAAAGGTGCTCAAAGGCAGTAGGTAACTTTTGATCCATCTGAAGGAAGTATAGGCATTCATTAAGCAAGTCAGAAAGGCGTGAGTGAAAGAAGAGGGAGAAGGTATTACAGGTGTGGGGGACACCACGACAGAAGGTATGAAAGCTTGAAAGACTAAGAAACAGAGGAGAAATCCAAAGTGGCTGGAATTTTAAGCAAGGGAGTAATTTGGCCAGATAAATTAAAACCACATCTATAGAGGCAGAGGTTGGATTGAAAGGGAAAGACTGAAGGTCCAGTTAGAAGGTGTAGTTTAAAAAGAAATGAGTTGGGTCTGAACAAGGCAGTTAGCAATGGCAGTGAAGAGGACAGGAATGATTTAAGAGGTAGAATTGGGAAAATCTAGTAACTGATTAGACATGGAGGTGGGGAAAGAAAAACGGGGAGGAAGACTTTTCATATCGCTTACTTGGAATAATGAATAGACAGACAAGTGTCAATAACTGAGATATGAAATGCCAGAAAGAAAGAAGGTTTGGAAAGATGATACTTAGCTCAACTTATGGACACACAGAATTTAAGGCCTCCTATGCATCACGAACTGAGCTAAGGAGCTGGGCTTTTATTGATGCCATCTGATTTTAAAAAGATACTTTTTAGAGAGAGATTGGAAGAAAGATAAAGATGGGGCTCATTTATCACAGGGATAGAAGCTTCCAAATAATAAAGCTAAATTTAAAATGCATTTATTGAATATATACTCAGCCTACATAACGTGGCAAAACCTTGTCTCTACAAAAAATACAAAAATTAGCCAGTCATGGTGGTGTGCACCTGTAGTATCAGCTACTTGGGTAGAAGGCCGAGGCGGGAGAATCGCTTGAGCCCAGGCAATTGAGGCTATAGTGAGCTGTGTTTGTGCCACTGCACTCTAGCCTGGGCGACAGAGTGAGACCCTGTCTCAAAAAAGAAAAAAGAATATATACTGCGAGCTGTGGCATGTACTAGGCTAGGTTCTGTGGAAACAGAACATTACTGTTGCCATTACTATTTTTAATGATAAGTAAGACAAAGTGCTTTACAATTTACAGAATCCTGTTTACGTAGTCAGCAATACACTGGTAAATCAGCTCTTTCCAAGACAACAGCAATCTGATTTGTAGTGTTGGCTGATTTCCCTGGTGTAAATATTCCCACCATAGCAGATTTCAAGCTAATAAAACTTTAACAACTTGCTTGCAAAGTTTCTAAACATTTGACAATTGGCTCTAACAAGTTGGTGTAGAAGCCAGCTCCAGCGCCATATCATTGCAAAAGTGCCATTTCTATCTCACAAGAGAAGAAACTTCTCTAAGGTAATATATTCAATAAGTAATAGAGCAGGAATTAAAATCTAGCTCAAAGTTCAGATTCCTGAAATCCTTTGTGTTTTTTTACAACACGATGGAAAACTTACGATAACTCCTCACTTTCTTAGAGTGCTTTCCAGGTTAAAAAGCGCTGTTGTCTGTGATCATGTGATCTAAGTATTTGATCCCTAGGTAAGAAATCCAGAAAACAGAATGATTATCCCTGTTTTTCACAGAAGGAAACAAAGGCCTAGAAAGAGGTAGATGCTAACGGTCACAGAGCCAGGATGAAATACCAGGCTATTTTTCCTAATCACAACACTCTGTCCTGTACCATGCAGTCTCTAGACATGGTTCCGATGCTGTTGAAGCTCATTATACTGAAGGAATTCCCTCCCGCCATCATCCCCCATGACAAATGAGCCATATTCCCTTCTACAGAGCCAAGAGAGATGGGAGCAATGAAAACAGAGGTAGGATTTGAGATGAACTTTGCAGGTAAGGTGTGTGACAGGGGGAAGGAAGTCAGGGGATAATAAGAGCATGGGCAGAGACAGGGAAGTGGAATGACCAGGGCGTGTGTGAGGGGGTTGCTGACCCAGAAACAGCAGTGGCTAACGTGGGGGAGCAGTGCGCAGCAAGGATAACTCCTGCTCCCCATGTGGGCTCTGAACGCTTATGATACAATGCAGGTGATTCTTCCCTCCTAACAAACCAGAGAGATCAGTTTAACTGGACGGGGTTAGCAAAGAGGCACTTAAATGATAGGTATGGAGAAATCTAGGCCTTGGGAAGCTGTCTGGGAATATAAGGTCGGGGTAGGGGGAAGAAAGAAGAAACACTGGAGCCCTCTGCCACAGCAACAGCTATTTGCTTGAGTTGACCCTATTCCGCCCACTCCAGCCTCCCCTCCCCTCTTCCTTCCATGCTCATCTCTGAGCTTTGGCATTACTGATCTCCTTATTATATTTTCTTCCTGATCACCTGCCACCACCTTGAGCTATCTCCTGCTTTTGGCCTCTCTGACCTTGCCCTGCCTGATCTCTTTTAAGAGTGCTGATTTCATACTATCTGACCTGGCCATTGACTCAGCAGTTACTTCCAGTCTGCCTTGGCTGCTGGGACTCTTGGTTATCCTATACAGCAGCAGCTCCCAACCTTTTTGGCACCAGGGACCAGTTTTGTGGAAGATGATTTTTTCCATGGACCAGGGATGGGGGATGGTTTCAAGATGATTCAAGTGCATTACATGTATTGTGTACTTTATTTCTATTATAATTACATCGTAATAGATAATGAAATAATTATACAACTCACCATAATGTAGAATCAATAGGAGCTCTGAGCTTGTTTTCCTGCAACTAGACAGTCTCATCTAGGGGTGATGGGAGAAAGTGACAGATCATTAGGCATTAGATTCTCATAAGGGGCACACAACCTAGATCCCTAGATCCCTTGCATGCACAGTTCACAACAGGGTTTGTGCTCCTATGAGAATCTAATGCCCCCACCAATCTGACAAGAGGTGGAGCTCAGGTGATAATACAAGTGACAGGGAGTGGCTATAAATACGAAGGAAGCTCCGTCCCCGCCACCACCCCTGCTCACCTCCCTCAGTTCAGCCCAGTTCCTAACAGGCCACAGACTGGTACCTGCCCATGGCCTGGTGGTTGGGAATCCCTGTTATACAGCACAAGTCCTGTATACTATTGGCTCATGTGAATTGCATACCCAAACATATATGTGAATTTCAGCCAAATGCTTATTTGTGTGATTTATTTTTTTGAATCAAACTATCAGGCTTTATATTAATTCCTGATAAATTTCTACTTTGTCAATTTTTTATCCTGAATTTCTGCCTAATGACATCATGTTAGGATGAGTTCAGACATAAAAGTTAGAAAAACATCTGTTTGTTTTGTAATGTTTTTCTATCTCTAACAGGATAAGGATGAGTGTGAAGTATACCTGTTCCCACTGGGATGGGAATGAGTTTAATCCCAGTTATCACATGCAGTTTGATATTTAAGAGATCAGGGAAAAACAACACAATCAAGGAATATGTTTCAATCCACTCACTTTACACATGAGAATCAAATTTCCAAGAGATTGCCAACTTGCTTAATGTAACTAACTAGTGGCGGAGCTGGAATGAGTCCTTCCTCAGCCCAGCTCTTTCCACTAGTATGATTGTTTGTGTATTCAGAGAGAAACAAATAGCCATGGTATCATGGCCCACTGGTGATGAAAACAATAGTAATTCACAGCGTGATTCTAGATGCACTAAAATATTCCCAAGGAAACACTAACACTCACCTAGTAGGGTGACCCTGCACCTATCTACAGGGCAGCCTGAGGCCACCCACTGACTGCTCTCAGAGTGGGCAGAGGTGAGGTAAACCTCAAGGTGTGTATAAAGATGTGTAGTTAATAGGCTTTCCTCATGCTCACAAGAATATCCAGTCCAATGTGACCCAACAAAGGCAGAGAAATTGAGAGGCACGTGAACAAAGGGAAAGAAAAATCATCACTATGACTATATTCAAATATGATCAGAGCTGACTACATTTTAGAAGAGTGTAGGAAGCTAAAAATACTGAAGTTTCACCTGTGCTGTGTGTACACCCACACGCTGCCACTGCACAGGGAAGAGACTGTTAGGTGGAAACTGTGGGAACACAGGCAGTGTCACTATCTTTCGCCCTCTTGGTCCTCTCTCCCTGTCCAAATCTGGCTCAGGGACCCTCATGGGAACTGAGTGTTTGGTCCTTTCAATTCACAGGAATTCAAAACTAGTATATATTAGAAGGAGACAGAAAGAAGAGGGGCAAGATTTTTGAACATTGATAGTCAAAGGGAAAAAGATAAGGAACATCAGAGAGGTAAAAGGCAAGCCTGGGATGGCACCCTCATCCCGTACAAAGTACTCTGGGAAGTAGAAAGTGCAGATGGGAAGGTCTGTAGGTGAGGTGATGCTGCTGCCGCCCTTTCAAGTTCTGATCTGCAAACAGCCCAGACAGTGCTCCCCTGCCCTTGAGGCACACTCTCCCTGCCTTCTGAGTTTCTTGGCCCCTAGAGGAGGAAGTGGTTTGTGCAAAAGTAGTAGGCAAGAGTTGGAGACAGCAGCAGCTGTGCATTTGGCAGGGCACTGCCAATTTCTGGAAATTACCTTGGTTTTGTGCCAAGATCCCAGGATGCAATGTAGAGAGAAAGAGGAGTGGAGGAGGCAATGTGGCCAATGGCCCTCAAATTCTTGGATTTTTCTATGATGCAATACAATTTTTCCCATGTTACTAATTGAGGATTTTTATAATAGATTTTGAATTTTATATCATAAACATGAATAGAACAAAGATTTTGGAAAATTTAGCCCCACAAAGTTTTTGCTGTTACTAAAACTGAATAAAAACATTAAATTAAGCATTATTGCTATGAGATTTATTGATGCTGAGCTCTTTCCAAGCTGTCTTCTCTTTCCTTGGCATCTTCTTGCCTATCTTTGAAAATGAATACAACACGGCCATCTTAACCCTTCTGGTCATTTCTCTAAAATTCATATGGCAGTTGAAAACATAAAATAATTCCTGCTGCTATGAGTATCAATCTCACTTTAAAACTTGGAGTAAGTTACTTGTGCATAGTAATAACATAAAATGATCTTTCCACGATAGAGGTCTGTCACTGAGATCTTAATTTGAACTTTGAAAACATTAGATAGGTTTTTCAAATGGAGTTATATGATTAGAAGCATGTGACTTCAAATCAGATAAAAAGGATGACCTACAATCGTGCCTTTATCCCTACTTACTCTCTTAACTGTGGACCATCTTCTGAAATGCTAGTTTGAAGGAACAATAGAAACTCAATCGACCAAATCCTGTGAACTACCTCATTTCATTTTCTTTATAACATTTCATTCAACAATTATGTATTCAAAAATATTGATTCCATGTTTACCATGTACCTATATTTTTGGTTAAGATTATGAATGTTTAATAATCTTGAAAGTATGCTGGAGTCAGCAAAAAATTAAAATTATGAAGAAGCAAATTCTCCATGGTGACAAATTACCTTCTGAATACCAGTACCTATAAATGAAACTGTGATTGTAGTTAAAATAAGTTTATTGTAGCCTTTAAAATGAATAAAGATGCTTCATTTTCAGAGTAGTAGTCTATAAATTTAGCTGGAAATAGCAACTTGTGAGCTTCAAAAATGCCTTAATTCAAAGGTGAAACATCTTGACCAAAGGAATGATTTATCCATAAATCCTGTCATAAATAATATCTCCATAATGTTTTCTGACCCAAATTCAACTTGCCATATGAAGAATAAAATCAATAACTTTAAATGTTTTAAAAATAAGATACAGACATATATATATATACATACACATACATTTTAAATGGGGTGGTACAAGATGGCTGAATCGGGACAGATCCAGTCTGCAGCTGACAGTGAGATCAATGCAGAAGGCAGGTGATTACTACATTTCCAACTGAGGTACCTGGCTCATCTCCCTGGGACTGGTTAGACAGTGGGTGCAGCCCAGAGGGCAAGCTGAAGCAGAGTGAGGTGTCGCCTTACCCAGGCAGCACAAGGGGTCAGGGAACTCCCTCCCCTAGCCAAGGGAAGCAGCGAGGGATTGTGCCATGAGGAATGGTACATTCCGGCCCAGATACTACGTTTTTCCCACGGTCTTCACAACCCATAGACCAAGAGATTCCCTTGGGTGCCTACACCATCAGTCCCCTGGGTTTCAAGCACAAAACTGGATGGCCATTTGGGCAGACACTGATCTAACTGCAAGAGTTTTTGTTCATACCCCAGTGGTCTCTGGAATGCCAGTGAGACAGAACTGTTCACTCCCCTGGAAAGGGGGCCAAAGCCAGGGAGCCAAGTGGTCTAGCTCAGCGGATCCCACCCCCATGGAGCCCAGCAAGCTTAGATCCACTGGCTTGAAATTCTCACTGTCAGCACAGCAGTCTGAAGTCGAGCTGGGATATTTGAGATTGGTGTGGGGAGGGGTGTCCACCATTACTGAGGCTTGAGTAGGCAGTTTTCCCCTCACAGTGTAAACAAAGCTGCTGGAAAGCTTGAACTGGGCAGAGCCCACCACAGCTCAGCAAAACCACTGTAGCCAGACTGCCTATCTAGATTTCTCCTCTCTGGGTAGGGCATGTCTAGAAGAAAGGCAGCAGCCCCAGGCAAGGGCTTATAGATCAAACTCCCATCTCCCTGGGACAGAGCACATAGGGAAAGGGGTGGATATGGGTGCAGCTTCAGCAGACTTAAGCATTCCTGCCTGCTGGCTCTGAAGAGAGCAGCAGATCTTCCAGCACAGCACTCGAGCTCTGCTAAGGGACAGACTCCTCCTCAAGTGGGTCCCTGACCCCCACACCTCCTGACTAGGAGACACCTCCCAGCAGGAGTTGACAGACACCTCATACAGGAGAGCTCCGGTTGGCATCTGGCAGGTGCTCCTCTGGGATGAAGCTTCCAGAGGAAGTAACAGGCAGCAATCTTTGCTGTTCTGCAGCATCTGCTGGTGATACCCAGGCAAACAGGGTCAGAAGTGAACCTCCAGCAAACTCCAGTAGACCTGCAGCAGAGGGGCCTGTTAGAATGAAAACTAACAGAAAGGAATAGCATCAACATCAACAAAAAGGATGTCCACAAGAAAATTCCATCCAAAGGTCACCAACAACAAAGACCAAAGGTAGATAAATCCATGAAGATGAGAAAAAAACAGCACAAAAAGACTGAAAATTCCAAAAACCAGAATGCCTCTTCTCCTCCAAAAGATCACAACTCCATGCCAGCAAGGGAACAAAACTGGAATGGAGAATGAGTTTGACAAAGTGACAGAAGTAGGTTTCAGAAGGTGAGTAATAACAAACTCCTCCAAAAAGGTTAGAGGAATTGCTAACTAGAATAACTAGTTTAGAGAAGAACATAAATGACCTGATGGAGCCGAAAAACACAGCACAAGAACTGCATGAAGCATACACAAGTATCAATAGCTGAATTGATCAAGTGGAAGAAAGGAATCAGAGATTGAAGATCAACTTAATGAAATAAAGCATGAAGACATGATTAGACAAAAAAGAATGAAAAGGAATGAACAAAACCTCCAAGAAATATGGAACCATGTGAAAAGAACACACCTACGTTTGATGGGTGTACCTGAAAACGATGGAGAGAATGGAGCCAAGTTGGAAAACACGCTTCAGGATATTATCCAGGAGAACTTCCCCAACCTAGCAAGATAGGAATTCAAATTCAGGAATATAGAGAATACCACAAAGATACTCCCTGAAAAGAGCAACCCCAAGACACATAGTCATCAGATTCACCAAGATTAAAATGAAGGAA